CAAGTCTTGTCAGCAAAGAGAATCATGTTGACAGGCATCCCCGAGGCAGATGACGGGGAAGAAGTGCGGTCTCTCAAGAAAGCTTGCGATTTGGCTGCGCGGAGGAAGCGGAGAAGGTGTCGAGCTGTACTGAAGGACGAAGGGAGAAGCTCAGAAGGAAGGAAGGGAGAGAAATGCGAAGGAATTGGGGTAGAAGCTCAGAACGAAGAAAGGAAATATCTAGTTTTGGCGCCTCTCTCAGTACTTTAACAATAACAAGGGTGACGTCAGTCTCTAGAGGTGATAATTGATGTAAAGTTCCATCTAATCTCAGTTTTCTAACAGGAAACAAGATTTTAGGAGAGGTAAATGTATAACAGACGAAAAGTTTGGTAAACTAAATGGTATTCTAAAGTATTCCCAAAGTGGTTTTGAGAGACAGATGTCAGCAGAAAGTGCAGCTCTCTTACACAAGTCACGTATAGAGATTATTTGATGTCAACCCACTAACCACCGACACATTTCTGGTCCTGTCTAAAGCGTTTAGCGCAGTTCATCATGGAATTCTCTTGGAGAAAGCAAACCACGACGGTATGCGAGGCGTCGCCAACAGTGGGCTGCGTCATGCTTATTAGATAACACAAATATGTTCATTTTTAAGAGTTAATCGAAAAAATTTGTTTTGTCATTGTCATTATATATTCATTATATATTGTCAACTCATATAGCAACATACGTTACGTGTCGTATGTTGAAAGCACTTTCTATAAAGCAACCGGTAACCAAAGTTTTCTAATGTCAATGCTTGACCGGCAGCGAATTAGTTAACGCTCAACTATATGATGTTATACAGAAGTAAAGGGATATCTCCAGCTGCCCTGTTCTCAATATAGAGCTCACTGACTTCAGTGAGCGATCGCCTTTTTGGGGCTCTACCCATCACTAACATAGTAAATTGCCATACCATATACCCACTTGTCATTCGTTGACGTCATATGCCAAGAAACTCCCTGGGCAGAACTGTCAAATCCTCAGTGAGGCCTCCCGAAGCCGTACCATTTCCAGAGTTCTAAAACTCGCCTGCAGAAGGGACGAGCGGAGGAAGATCCTGAGAAGGAAGGAAGATAAAATCTCCGAATGAAGGACGAAGACAGAAGCTCAGAGGGAGAGAAGGAAGGAAGCAGCTCTGATCGAGGACCTCCTTGAGGACGCCAGGCACGCCCAGGGAGAAAAGCGAGCGGGGCTGTGAGGAGCAGCGACCTTCGAGGATCACGTCGGCTCCGTATGTTACCCTTTGAGTCACAGTGATTCATATGGTAACATAAAAAATGAGGGTCTCTTCTTCTGTTGCTTCTGACAACTGTGATTAAATATTTTCATGATCTTCACTAAAACCCATGTAAGAAATACACATGCATTATCGTTTTACTTATTTAAGTAATGTATTACTAGTGGTGAAATGATTTAGTGCCGAATCAGCCAGAAGTTGTATGGCCACATAGGGTTCATTCTGGCTTACTGGTGATCCCATACATTCACATACAGTACGGACCCAGGCACTAAATCCTTCTTTGCAAGCATTGGGCTGTAGGTTGAATCGTCTTTTTACATCTAGTAGTCTTGTTTTCTGAATCCTCTTTTCATGCTGATTGCTTTTTACTTTGTACTTAAGATACATGGTTAGGTATGTGCTTTTAAGAAAAACCTTTCAACCAGAATTATGTATATATATATTTATATATATAAATACACACACACACATACATGTATATATATATATATATAATTATATATATATATATATATATATATATATATATATATATATATATATATATATATATATACATTATATTTATATATACACACACACTCGCACACACACATACACACACATATATATGCACATATTCACACACACAAATACGCATGTATATGTTTTATTCATGGATGTCTTTTTCGGTGGGGAGGATATATAATTTTCCTTATCATTAAAATCATCATTAGCCAAGTTGACAGCGTCTGATATTAAACATTATTCTCTCCCAGAAGTGTTCAGTAAAGGCCTTGAAAAGTAGTAGAAAGAAAGCCAGCATTATACTCGTCGATATATTGCTTACGGTTTCAATTCTGTGACTCACTGGGATGTGGCACTTTACCATTGAAAGCATTAAAGAAAACTGATAATAAAAGAACATTTACTTGCCGAGACTTGGCTAAAGTTGCGTATTATGACACATTCCGAAAAGTTGTTGCACAGATATGCGATTTGCTTTTGTTCGCTGCATAGTGCTCGACAGCCAATCTTATCAGGTTGCATGCTTTGCCCAGTAGTTGAATTTCTCACGAAAAGGTTAAACGATAATGACTAAAGTTAGTGAATTAGATATCGTTAGTTAAACAATATTACCGATTATCAGTTCCATTTCTAAGGTTTTATTTTGGCAAACTCGTCCCAGATGCATCACTGAATATAGATGTTCCATGGTTAAGGTTTGAAGAACGCCTTGCTTTTCCGCCG